AATCCCTCCCTGCCTCAGAGAGCCCTGAACCTTCACTGCCACAGATTTAACACTTGAACCTGCAGTATTTTGGTTTGAAAACTAAAAACTAAAATCATCATCACAACGACAGCTACTGTGGAAGAAAAATGTTATGTTGAAAATGTTAATCTCTCAACTGGGCTTCGTCCATCGTGCGGAACCTACCTCTATATCTATGTTGTTCTTTACCACAGCTGCGATGCGTTTAATACCTCGTTAAAAACCATACGTACACATACATCTGTGCATTTGTGCTCATCAGCCCAGCTCCAACTACACCACCCACACCTTTAAGTGTGAATTTACAAAACAATTAGAGTTCAGCTAAGACCACGGTTCGGCCTTTAGCTCCACCGCTCTCCCTGCAGCCACTGTATTTATACAGTAATATAACGTGTAATGTAATGAACTGAATTCCATTCTCCCTCCTGGAGGACAGAAGTTATGACTCCTAAGAGTTTCAGTTGTGTAAGTACAGCAAAATTAGTTCATGGTAATTACAATCTAAAGTGTCAGTGGTGTAATTTGGAGCCATCAGAATCCTAATAAAAAAGTGAAGACACTCTGTCAGCTCCTGTCTGTTCGGTGAGGAGAGTCAGGAGTTTAGTTTACAGACGGGGCGGGGAACAAACAATTCATCTGAGCAGTCTCTTCCATCAGGAAACCGATCAGTCAAAAAAAAAGAAAGAAAAAAATGTTAGTCAGCAACTAGTGATTCGACCACCGTCCTTGTTTATTTCCAAATGTAAAAAAAAAACCTCTTTAAATATTTTATTTTTTTATATTAATTTATTTTACTCACATTTTCTCCTGACATCGGTCCTTTCTTATTAGCTGTACAAATATTTGCAGTTTTTAGCATTTTCCCACTCACCTGCTAATTGCATTATATTGATGTGTTGGAATTAATCATTTAAAGTCCTGCACCTTTGACTATGGCTGTGATGAAATATTGATCCAGTAACTCATTAGTTTTCTTTTTTTCTAAAAAAGGTAAAGAAAACAACAACACTGCACTCTTGACTCCTAAGACTATACCTTCAATACTGCAATTGCTCCTGATGGTGGCGCTGGGAGATTGCCTCATCTGGTCAACTGTTCGTTTCCTCTGGTTTTAATCTCTCTGGTTGTGTTTTATTGATGCACTATATTGATTTCTTTTTTTTTATTGAAGATGCCCTGCACTTTTACAAGGGTTAGGATGAAAGATTGAGCAGTAAATCACTGATCTGATTCCTGGTGTGATTTAGCAAAAAGCATCTTCAAAACAGTTTCTCATTTATTTGACTTGTGTGTGTGTGTGTGTGTGTGTCACTGCTGCACAGCTTAAGCTGTGTGAAAAAGCAAGGGTAGAAACTGCTGCTGAATGTGAGTGACCTTTAAAAGACTGTATTGCTTTTTTTATTTGTAGATTTAAGTTTTGTGTCGCTACTGTTCTGAGAGACTTTTACTCTACAGCAGTGGTTCTCAAACTGTGGTACGTGTACCACTTGTGGTACACGAGAGCTCTCTGGTGGTACGTGGGGAAAATTCATATTTTCACATTTACATTTAAATTGAATAAATCTGAAACATACCATGCACAATTACTACAACATTTAAACATTCATATAAACTTCTCTCCTGTGGTGGAAGCTAACAGTGAAGGCCTACGCTGCTCTATTCTAATGTTGGTCATCATGGTGGTACTCAGAGAGATCAATGTTTTCTCAGGTGGTACAGAGTAACATAAAAGGTTTGAGAATCACTGCTCTACAGTTTTATCCGATCAAAACATTTGTGTTCAAATGAGCTTAAATTAACGCCAACATATTTGATTGCAATAAAGCATGAATGTAAACACATCTTAATACCTTAAATACCTGGAGTGTTGTTTTATTTGTTTATTTTTTAAGAACTTTGGACTAATTTAATAACAATCACATTGAATTCAGGGACCAGTGGTGTTGGAGAATACGTTAAAGTTTTTTGGGGATTTGACAGTTCTGCTTCCTCCTGCTCCTTGTGTTCAGAGGAATAATGCTGTGCGGCTTCTTCCCAATGTTTTAACGTCCTGACATAAGGCCGTTGAACTGGTAAGTGTTTCACATCCGAAGCTGCTGCCACCGCTGTCGCCATGAAACCATTAGCAGCGAATGCTGTACTTACACAGTACTACACTGATCTCAGCGTGTATTAAACTCAGGCAGTAAAACACGCATGAAAGACCGCAATCCTCCTCCTCCTCCTCCTCCTCCTCCTCCAGCTCCTCCGGCTCCTTCTCCTCCTACTAACCCAGCCACTGACACTAGTGCCATAACTGCAGACATAAAGCGGCGGCCATATTCCGATGCCACAAGTTCCATAGTGATACGGTGGAATCAGCAACTTTCTAAGTGGCAGTGTGAGCTCTGGCCAATCAAATCACATTATGCAAATATTTCAGCACAGGCCAATCACATCACATTTGCGGATAGGGCTCTAAAAGCTGCACCATCCAACTGAGCTGTGAGATAAGGCTGTTCTCCCTGTTGCTGCACACTGAGCCGCCAACAATGGCCGACACCGCAGGCACTACATCACATCGTTACTTATCACCGTTAGCTACAGAAGTGTGGCCGCAGACGCAGCCGTAAAAGTCCAGAGGGGTTCACAGCATTGATAATGATGATGTCTTCTATCATCACATTATGAATATGGCAGTGAGGAACCCTGTGTGAGAAATAATTTAGTTTCAGCTGCTCTTTAAGTGAATGTAAATAGTGATGTCTAATGTGACACGTTAAGAAAATTGCTTCTAACTGTAAAGTAATCTAAAGCTAAATGGCTTTTGTACGTCTTCAGAACGAAGGTAAGGAAGAGAGGGGGGAAGTGAAGTGAGAGGAATATAAAAAGACAGAGACGTAAAGAGGGAAGGGAGGAAGAGAGTGTCTCAGAGAAAGTGTGCACGTGCGCTGAAACAAGAATAAAGCTGCACCGCTGGGACTTGAACAAGCACTGCGCCATTTCTACCAGCTCCATCTATCACCCTGCTCCAGCAGCAGCAGCAGTAACAGCAGCAGCAGTAACAGCAGCAGCAATGTCAGTGCACGGGTGCATGTGTTAAGGATGCGAGGATGTATAGAGAAACTTTCCAAACACGAGCTCTACGCCCTGATGAACAGAGCATCGGAGCATCGAGGAGCTGCCAGGAACTTTGTGCTCGCTCCGTGTTTTTGCCCCTACAGCTTAAAACAGAAGATTGATTTGTCTGTTTCGATTAAGAAAATCCAATCAGTCCAATTTGCCTCACCTCCTCAGCTTTGTGGCCCGTGTGTAGAACGGCAGACGTAAACATGTTTGTCAGTGTATGAAGCCTGTTTATTTTGCTGCTTCATATTCCTATTCAAGTTTTATAATAAAAAAAAATGGTATGACAACATCTCAAATGTCCATTAATGTGGATGTTAATGTTAATTATTAAAACAGTTTTTAATTTAAATTAGACTTTTCTTTTGCATATTTCAGTAATAAATAAATTAAAAATGATTTTGAAGCAGGACTCAGGCAGATCAAAATTAATTCAAGGATAACTTAGTTTAACTAAAGTTTAAAGGGTAATTAATTGGAATTAACTACATTTAATAATGTAGTGTATAATATAATGTCATGTTTTCTAATGTATAATATACATACTGCACACACAGGGGCAGCAGTTTCTGGCCCTTGCTATGAGAATGTTGCTGTTTGTTGGTGATGGTTCTAATGGATTTCCTGTGTAATGAATGAGCAGCGTGTGATGTGCTGTTGACTGCGCTCATTTCAACTGAAGCGGTGAAAATGGGCGAATGGCTCAATGAGGTGGAGAGACTTCTAAATGCTCGGACGGCAGATGGCTTTTAATTTCGCAAAAGAAAATGAAAATGAAAATTTGGATGCGCCAAATATCACCTGCACTGCCGCCATTTTAATTAATCACATTCATCAGTGGAGAAAAAAAAGGAAATGAAGAAATGGAGTCGCTGTTGGACGTAAAAGCTTTCATTAGCCGTCTGTTCATCCACATCGACCACATGACCACACGAAGAATGCACGATGGTGCATGAATAACAACAACAACAACGACACAGGGTTAGTTCTTCTACAACTTCACATTAAGCATTAATTGAGCTTACCATCGTTGTCTCAGCAATGGACCCAAAACTGTTGATAAAAATGTTGCAGGTGACGTTAACAGGAGGACCTGTAGGTGGAGACAAGAGATGGAGACAAACAGAGAAGTCAGATCTTAGCGATCGACCGATCAGTTTCCCGTCTTTGGACATTTTTGTCGGCTGTTCTGAGATCGTAACTTTATAGAAATGAATAAATAACGGCTGCTTTCACCACAACAAATACAAATCAACAGTTTCTCCAGTGTTGATTGTTTTCACAGTAGAATTTCTCAAATAGAATAGATTAGCTAACTAGTTAGCAAACGGAACACCTGCTCTGCCGTTATGAGGGCTGGAATTGAATTCTTTTCGGATGTTCTTTCAGTTTTGGGAAAAGCAAAAAAAAAAAAAAATCAAACACAAAACAAATTTGAATAATTTTACAGGGATTTGGTTCAGTCCTGATCAAGCTTCACATCTGTTTTAGAACTCTTTGACTTACCTTCAGAAACTGTAAAATAGCATGAATAGAAAAATGACATTTAGTCTGGTCAATCTCACCAGGACCAAGAAACATTTTAAAGTCCAGAAGAAGAACCACAGTGGTTATATGGGTGATTGTGGAGCGTTAGCATCATTAGACACTGTAGTGAAAACCTGTACTGTCCCAACAGGAGTCTGGTTGTAGGTCTCGCCTTGAATGAACGATTTGTTTTATGAGCGACAGAGAGAGTTCTGATGTTTTCAGTGTTGTTTTCTTATGATGGAATTCATTCTTTGAACTTCGTTTTTTCTGCTAAAAGGGAAAAGAAAATGAAAGAATCCCTGGGAGTCTCTCTGGAAGTAGAAGATAAAACAAAACAATGTTTTGAATCCTTTGTGGATTGAATTACAGGAGTCGTGTGATCGTAACACATCCTGATGTTTAGCCTACACTTGACCCTCTCATCATTAAAGAGACGACAATCTATTATCTCATGGCAAAAGCCCACTTACACCCAACGACTGCAACGCTGCACTTCTCACACACAAAAACATAATAATATCAGTAGACAAAGCACAGCTAAAATGAGGCTTTTATCTGGTACATAATTAGATACAAACTTAATCCCAACTCTTTAATCCTATTATTTATAATCCCTATCAGCCCCAGAGTGCATAAGAAATGGCTGTTGATACTTTTGTAGGACCGGGGAAATGTGGACTTCCAATAAATCGAGAGTCTTGATGTGTTCTGATGCACAGTGGCATAACACACACACACACACACACACACACACAGACACACACTTAAATCCCTGCCTAAACTGGGGGTATAATTCCACTGGCTGACGGCAAGCTGGGAATGAGGGGAGGGGGTTTGGATTATTTTTGATGGCCAATTACTCTCCCTGTCACAGTCTGAAGACTGCTGCAGGCCACTGGAGAGGAATATCATTTACACACACACACACACACACCCGAGCATACAACTGTGGTTAAGCTATAGAAAAGAGACATCGTGGGGGAGAAAAAAAAATCATTACATTTAGCCAAAGGCTCTGGTTTCTCTACGTGACTTACATCTTCAGCTTCTAATTAGAACAAACAGTCAATAGTCGTGGGTCTGCGTGATGAAGGGTGGACGCGGCAGTAAGAACCGTGTCTTTATTTCAGTGGTTTAGGAGATGAGACTCCAGCAGATGAAAACAAAACGACTTTACTTGTTGACTTCACTATTCTGCCTCCGTTTGGTCCAAGGGAAAATAAGATATATATATACTATATATATATATATATATATAACTAAGTCTTTTTTATCCTGCAACCCTACCTGAAAACTCTCTTCATCAACTGTCAAAGTGACTTACAGTCCAAGTGTGTGTGTGTGTGTGTGTGTGTACACAGGAAGTACAGGGGGCAGGTCCACAGGCATTTATCATGACAAACTGCTGAGTGTCCAGATTTCCTCAAAGTAAACTTCACTGCTGAAACTTTTGTTGGGGTTCCTGCAAATGCTCTTGTTCTCGTTTGCAGCCTTTTGTCCACTTAGCTAACGCTAACTGGCTGAGTCGTTAAGTGGCATTGATTATTATCTCAAACTTAATAAACTGTTAGCATTATTGATCACCTACTTTCTATTTTAAATTGTGAAGCGCAGATGCTGTGTTAGTGACAACACAAAGTCAGGTCAAAATAATAAAAACAACATTGAAAAATTCAAATATTAATTCCCATGTAATTTCTGATTACACCTTACACTAGAAGTGATAAATAATGCCTTGGGCTGAATCATTCTGAGCGTCTCCTCAAACACAGTGATCACAGCGTCTTAAATGTGTCAGGGTTTCACAGGATATTACCCTTAAACCAAGTGGTTTTACATCACTTTGTTTTCCCCTCCATAGTCAGGGGCTTTCTCAGCTTTAAACTCCAGCTCTCTGACACATTTCCTACAGAGTCGGGGGTTTTGTTCCAAATCCCTTCTTCAAAGTACGGTCCTCCTTACTCCCTGGCAGCAGGAGGGAGGAGAAGAGTGCAGGAGCATCATCATTTGTCTTTTATTTGGACATCCCTCACACTGCTAATGCAAGAGAGGGAGGAGAGGAGGCTCAATGAGGAGTAGAAGGTGATACCCCTTAAACCATGTCCTCCTCCTCCTCCTCCTTCTGCTGCTGCTGCAGTTTGTTTAATAAGCAGCCAGGGACGAAAAAGAGGAGGTGAAGCAGAAGAGAGAGGGGGAGAGAAGGAGAGAGAGAGAGATTTGGCTTTATAGCTTTTCAATAAAATGAGAAGATTGGGAGCAGCAGCTGAAAAAGACAAAGTAGAAGACAGGAGGGGAATGCAGAGACAGCTCATTAACTGTCTCTGAGGAACGAACAGCAGAGTGACTCACAGGTTGCCGCACGCACACGCGCACGTACGGAGAAAGTGAAAGAGAAATACACAGTACGTGTGTGTCCAATTAGTGTCCTTTCAATTGAAATTTGGAAAAATGCATAGAAATACTTCAAATACTCAGAGTTACTGTACGGCTTATATCAAAGTGTTTTTTTTGTTTTATTTTGCAAACTATAGCTTTAATGTTAACTCTGGTTCCTGTTGTGCATTACTACTATCTGAATAATACTCAGGTTTTTATATCCATATATGACACAGGCAGTGAGTAGGTTGACTAGCTTCTCAGTTGGTCGCGGCCTGGTGCAACTACTTTACGTCAAAGCTTCATCACTACACCACAGGTGATGGACCAACACCCACAGTTCATACAAACACTGACCAAAAAAAACAAAAAACACCTGAGAGACCCAGCTGACTCCAGAACCACTGTGGTCAAAGGAAGATGATTCTATCGTCTGCATAGAAAATATCAATATTGAATTAGTAGTATATAATGAAGTGGTTTAGTTAAAGAGAATTCCTGCTCAGATTGCTAATATTAGTTGTTGTGTATTCCTGCTTTTTGTGTAATCTATTGTAAATATGTTAGTAGAAGTATGAAAAATAGAAATTGAAAATATGCTGACCTCAACATTATTATTATTACATCGTTAAAAACAAGCAAACAACCTGGTCATTTAGTCCTTTACTAGGTGATGGTGATGAGTCCAAGCCATGGATTCACTAAAACTAAAACCCCATTTTTTTTTTTTCATTTTAACATCCTATCACCCATCCATCTGTCTATCTATCTATCTATCTGAGCAGGTCAGCTTCCTCTTCCTCTTCCTCTTCCTCATCAGTGCAGCTTTGCCCCACTGTGGCAGAGCCAGCACCATGCAGTGGAACTTGATTTGATCTTGATTTAAGGCCTTATTCCAGTGACTCTTTTGTCCTGGTGTTCAAATGACAGCCTGTTAAAGTGTCACATCACAGAAGGTGGAATTTATTAGCAGCAACAACAGGCACAGGGGGAAAAAGGACGAGTCCCAGGCTACAAATTAGATGAATGCTCTAAATTTTAATGCAGGTTTTAGCTGCCGTCAGCACAAAAAAATGAGAAATATAATCCCACAATGGCTGTGAGACATTAAATATTTATAGGGCGTCTTCTGTGGGGGTATATGGGAGAGAGAACGCAGATTTACTTTTTATTGAACTAATATATTTTCCCCACACATTCTCAGAGAAGTAGAGGAACCCACTTCATTTCAGAAGCTAGACTCCAGGAAAGAAAAGTTTTAGAGGAAAAAAAAGAAAAAAAGAAAAAGAACAGAGTAGTTTGATGTTGTTTTTCCCTTATTCCTTTTACTACTGCTGTTTTTCACGCCTTACGTCCCGCCGTGACAGCTGAGGAGGTAATGATTTTGTTCTTAGTCTCCATGAATAAACAACAGTAGTGAGAGTAATGCTGGCAAGAGCAGAAAACATCAGAGCATCATAAATCTCCTGACTTGAAGAGTGAAACTGTGAATTAATGAACTTTCTTTTATTTTTAATCAAACACGGGAGCGTTAGACTCAGCAAAACAACTCAGCAACTCAGCTAAAAGTCACAAACACTCAACTTTTTGGGGGAAACGTTGACTTTGAAAGATCAAAGTCTTGCTGTTCGGTTTGGTCTAAAGTTGGGGACATGGTCATACTGAGAACTGGTCTATATGGGTTTACCTCAACTGTTGCAGTTCAACAAATATGTTCTCAAATCACCTTAGACTCACTGTATGTTTGAGTAAAATTAAATATTTTCACATCAGATATTGATATTGGTCTTTTGTCTCAAATCCTCATTTCCAACTAATTTCAATGACACTAACTCACCACATGGGGCAGTAGTAGGCCGGTATCTCTTGTGTCCGACTCAGCAAATTTGATGTCAGGCGGCATAGGTCATGCCATAGCCATAGTAAAAAAAAAAAAAACAGCTTCTAATAAAAAATAATAAAGTTATGAAGAACCTTTGGATTTACTTCTTTGTCAAAGTAACTTTTTAACCCCCTCGTCCACCACCAGTTGCTGTTTTATTCACTTCCTGCCTCCACTGGTCTGTGGACACACACACACACAGCTGTAAATAAAAAGCAGCCAGGCAGAAAAATAGAAACTCCTAGAAAGCTGCATCCATCTCCTGACAATGAAACACGAGTAAAACCTGCCATTTTTTCTCCTTC